GGAAGAGCGCCGTCTTGCAGGCCCTGCGGAACTGTACTAGGTCCCGCAGGGCCCTGATCGCCTCCGGGAGCTCATTCCACCAAGTAGGAGCAGCCACTGAGAAGGACCTGGCCCTTGTCACAGCAAGCCTTGCCTCCCTGGGGCCCGGAATCACCAGGCGATGTTGTGTCCCAGACCGAAGTGCTCTTTGGGGTCTAATTCCAAATGCATGATGCTAGCAAAACAACTGTGTGCTATGTTTCCTGCAACGTTTGTTGCTGGGAATATAGCACACAGTTGTTTTGCTAGTTTTGTGTCACTTTTTTTACTGTGTGCTGTACCTTTGTGGCCAAATGCATGATGAGCGCGGGAGCTCTCTATCATTGGGCAAACCCCTAGTGGCTGAATTCTCTTGGAAGAAGTTTCATCCGGGGGTCAGGCTGGGGCTGGGTGTTGCCAGCCCCAAATCCAGACTTCTTTTCTGTCTCAGCTCCTGTGCTGAACTGGGGCCCCGAGAGGGACATGGAATCGAGAGCTAGGACTTGGGTCTTGAAGTACAGGGGACAGTAACAGCAAAGGCGGAAAGCCCCGCTCAGGAAAAATTCAAGGTATTTTGCCAACCCAAGCAAGGTACAGCCATTGTGTTCTCCTATGGGGCTCGATTCAGACCTAGTGAATGATGGCACAGGTGGTGTACATTGTGTCCCCCCCCCTCCGTGTCAATGGCCGGGGCAACCCAAACCCCTGGCTATCCCAAACAGTTATTGAGGGGGCATGGCTGGGGAACTGAGCCTGACTAAGTTCCAGTTTGGTGCAGTGGTTAGGAGCGCGGACTCTAAATCTGGGGAAACCGGGTCTGATTCCCCACTCCTCCCCATGCAGCTGCCGGTGTGACCTTGGGTCAGTCACAAGTTCTCTCAGAGCTGTTCTCTCAAGGGCAGTTCTCGAGAGAGCTCTCTCAGCCCCACCTACCTCCCAGGGTGTCTGTGGTGGGGAGGGGAAGGGAGAGGAGTTTGTAAGCTGCTCTGAGACTCCTTCGGGTAGTGAAGGGCGGGGTATAAATCCCATCCCCTCTTCTTCTTCTTCCTCCAGCTGGTATTAGGCCTGGCCAGTCCACAGCTCGTGACCATCCTTTTTACAGTTCTGCAATCTCTATATACACTTATTGGTAGGGTTGCTATCTCCACCCTGGGAACTTCCTGCAGATGTGGGGACGGTGCTTGTGGAGGAGGAAATTTGGGGAGAGATTTCACCTAGAATCTATGCTATACCATTGAGTCCACCCGCTGCAGCCGCCATTTCTCCAGGGGAACCAATCTCTGTCGTCTGGAGATCAGTGGTGATTCCAGGAGAACGTAGAGTGGCCAGGCAGCAGGAGAGTTGTGGGGGCAGATATGGGCAGGGCTGCAATGCTGACTGTGGTATCATGTCACTTCTAGTAAAAAACAAAACCTGGGAGCGATATAGGATAGCTCTGGGAATTGATGGAAACTCTATGGTATATCCATAGAGTTTCCAGCAATTCCTAGAGCTATCCTCTATTGCTTCTAGTTTTTTTTACTGTGTTAAATACCGGGTTCCACGGATGGTCTGACCCCAAGCCTTGTGACCAGCTCTGCTTTATTAGTGGTTCAGCAAGAACAAGACAAAGACAAAAGACAAACTGCCAGGCCAACGGCCCTGTTCAAATAGCACGCGACTCCACCCACTTCCCCAAACAACTACCAACGATAGGCCATTGTCAGAACCCTTAATTCCTCATTGGCTACCTTTAGAGTCCTGGTGGGCTATTATTCTAGAGCTCTAAACTCAGCCAGTCTCTGGTAGAAACAGTCCTGGAATGTTCCAGTCCCAATACATAAGAAGAAGAAGAAGAGAAGAGATTGGATTTATACCCCAGAGCGACTTATAAACTCATTTCCCTCCCCTCCGCACAACAGACACCCTGTGAGGTGGGTGGGCCTGAGAGAGCTCTTTCCAGAACTGTCCTTTCAAGGACAGCTCTTGTCAGAACTATGGATTGTCCAAGGTCATCCAGCAGGTGCAAGTGGAGGAGTGGGGAATCGAACCCGGTTCTCCCAGATTAGAGTCCGCACACTTAACCACGACACCAAACTGGAAGAGACCAAACCTACTGGAAGAGACATAGTGCATGGTGCTGTTTATTTTTTTCTTCAAGAAATTATCCAATGGGAATAGGGGGCAGGGAATCCCCTGCCCCACCAGGGGAGAGGGCCCCCTAGGAAAGGTCTGCATGGAGACTGGGGACCCTACCTGTTGGTGGCTCCCTAGGCCAACCCCCTCCCCCAGCCATGAGGTTCCTGGTCCAGGCCCGAAGGGAGTCCTGGCGGCCGTCCCCGTGTAGATGATCTCACGTGAGGAAGCTGCCCCCCCTCCCACCTCGGCTGTTTTCGAGCCATTAAAACGCTGTTGAGACGAAGGTTGTGAGGCAGGAGGCTGGCAGAAAGCCGCAGAGCCTGCCTCCCCCCCCCCGCCTCCAGCCTCCCCCCATTTATTTTCTTAACTAATATGCTGGCTTTCTTAAGACATTGGATTTCATAATCTCTTGGCTTTTCAGGGAGCTAATGGGAACCAAAGGCTCCAACACAAAGGCTCCATTATATTTTCCCCGACTCCAGCCTCTGGATTTTCCTTTATGCTAAATTTTGTCCTTCCCTCCCTTTTGACATTTGGACTAAGTTTTAAACAAGTTAATATATAACATTTAGTCATGTGGGTTAAAAAAAGAAAAGAATTATTTTTGTATATTCTCATTCACCTTGAGAACGGGCCAAGTTTCAGCGCCGTATCGTCTTAACGGCATGCTCCGAGGAGCGGGCCGGCCCCGTCAGTGTTCCGGAACGCGTCCTGCTGGGCTGCTGCCCCGGAGGGCCCCTGGCGGCCGGGAGCGATCGGAGCCAAGCTCCCCCCCCCCCCCGATGTTTGTGCTCACCCAGCACTGCAACCACCACTTGCCCAAGCTCACTCCAGGGCAGTGTTCCCTCTAAGCTGAGTTAGTGGAAGCTAGTTCACAGTTTTTTGGACTCCGGCTCACACAGTCCGTTGGCTCACACAGAGCCAGTTTGGTGTAGTGGTTGAGTGCGCGGACTCTAATTTGGGAGAACTGGGTTTGATTCCCCCACTCCTCCACTGGCACCCGGCTGGATGACCTTGGGCAAGCCGTAGCTCTGATCAGAGCTGTCCTTGGAAAAGAGCACTTTATCTCAGAGCTCTCTCAGCCCCACCTACCTCCCAGGGTGTCTGTTGTGGGGAGGGGAAGGGAGAGGAGTTTGTAAGCCGCTCTGAGACTCCTTTGGGTAGTGAAGGGCCATGGGGTACAAATCCAATCTCCTCCTCCTCCTCCTCCCCCTCTCCTCTTCTTCTTCTTCTTCTTCATCTCAGCTCAGGAAGGATGTGGCTCCAGAGCAAACTAATTGATGCAGGAGCCCAATCGCTCGCTCAGAACTTTAATGCCAGCAGCTTGCAAAGTAGAATTTTTGCTCACAAGACTGCACAGCTTAGAGGGAGCACTGGTCCGGGGTTGTCTTCACATCTTGTGCCTGCCCTCGGAAGTGTTATATCCAAAAGAGAGCTCATGGGAGAAGTGGGCAGATGGATGGGCAAAAAGGCATGAGTGGGGAACCTCACAAGCAACACAAGAGTCTGTATGTGTAGCCAACCTCCAGGTAGGGCCTGGAGATCTCCTGGAATTACAACTGATCTCCAGACAACAGAGATTGTCTGTTCTCCTGGAGAAAACGGCCGCTTTGGAGCACGGATTGCATGGCATTGTGCCCTTCCGAGGTCCATCACCTCCCAAAACCCTGCCCTGGTGCTGCCGGGCTGCCATTACAACTGACCTGCAGGCGACAGAGATCGGTTCCCCTGGAGAAAACGGCATGCTTTGGAAGGTGGACTCTATT